CAGATTCCAAGCAACGGACCCGAACAACTAAACTAGCAACCAAGGAAATCAGACAGCTTAGAAATTGAGAGGAACAGGTAGGACAAGGTCCAAATTGACAAAATGGCAAACCAGACCGCTAGCCTTAGAACTGGAGTTACACTGGAACAGGCTAACTTAAGCAGGGGTGTAGGGTGGTACATCCCTCCTCTGCGAGGTAATCAATGCCGCCCCTTGGGCCTCCACACCGTAAGGGGGAGGAGCGTGAGTAAGTGCTAGAACAACACTTTACCCTTTAGACTAGAAACCGGGAAATCATGACAGCATTACAACCGAGGGTTTAGGGTTTAGGCGAAAACAAAGCAAGTAGGATTTTAGATTTTTTAGAGATTTCAAGAGGCCCATATGTCTTTCAGAACGCTCTAGCATAACACACCAATCTGACAGCTTCACAGCTGAGAGGAGCAGAACTGGGGTGAGACGGAATGGCAACAGACAGGCAGTATTAGTACAGGCTAACTTAGGCAGGGGTGAGAGGGGGTACATCCTTCCTCAGAGAAGTAATCAATGCCGCCCACTCGGGCCTCCCAGCCAGAATGGGGAGGAGCGTGCGTGAGTCTCTCATGTATTCCATATTGAATTGCCGGGGGAATAGGAACCGGACTGTTGCTCCCCAGAATGGTAGGAGCCAGAACCATGAGGTTCTGTTTTTTTTTTTTTTTTTTTTTTTTTTTCAAAAGAGAAACAAATGCTGCTGAAAGCTTTTGCACATATTTTCCAAGAAGTGAAATACAGAAACAAAATTATCCCCGAGTGAGGGCACACTCACACTCCTGTCTTAACCCGAAAAAAACTTACGTACGTTTTATTCAACTTACCTCTGAAAAACGGTTCCCCGAAAATCACTGACGTCTTTTTAACAGAGCGTATGGTCGTACGGGCGAAATATAGCGTACATACGTACGTTGTATTCGAATACAACATATGTATGCTTTAATCAAAATTTTGGAAAATTTCAATTTTTGAAAGAAATCAGAGAATTTCCGAAAAGGGAAAACGTTTCGCAATATGTCAATACAAACAACTTTTGCCTAAAGGTCATGTTGAAATTCACAACCAATCAAAAATTTCAAATTTCAAATTTGGAAATTTTGATTTTTGAAAGAAATCAGAGAATTTCCGGAAAGAAAAAAACGTTTTACAATATTTCAACACGAAGTTACAAACAGCTCTTTGCCTAAAGGTCATGTTGAAATTCACAACCATCCAGCGGCCTAGCTCAGTTGGTAAGGCACGCAAGTCGCATTCAGGAGGTCTTGGGTTCAATTCCGATTGGCCTCGCGTACCTTCCTGGGCAAGCTTGGCGCCCACCACCTAGAGATAGGTCATTGGTTCCCCCGAGTGGCATTGAGCAGAGACTGCAGATACTACAGGCTCCTGTAAAGTTGTGCCCTAAAAAAACTCCTTGTATAACGTACGTACGTTGTATTCGAATACAACATACCCTGTACGCTGTATTCGTATACAACGTATCTACACTTTCTTCAAGTTTCCACAGAAACACTTTTTCAAAATGCATCGGACTGCAAGTACGGCCAGACCTGGATGCATCTGACAGCAATCATGTCCATAATTAAACAGTCCATAAGTGTGAGTATGCTCTGAAACTCTGTGTATACTACCAGACTAGTAGGCTAAGTTTCAAAAATAGTGCATTGCGGTAGTTTCACAGCAAAAAACATTGGCAGGGCCCAAGTTCCATTGCAAAAATATATCTTTGGTTGCAGCTGTAGAGTAGAGGTCCTGGTAGTTCCACACAAAAAAAGCAATTGTGTCCGGGGTCCCACTTTCCTTGCAAAAATAGATCTTTTGGACCCGTACAACATTTCTGCAGCCAGACTTCAAAAACGCGCTATTTCTGCAAGTACCCCCCAGAAGTTGGAGACTGGGACCTCATTATGGCGTCAAACGCATGTTGATAGTGTTCCTGGCTCGGTGCCTTCACCGCCCAAGGGCCTGGTCAACCAGGCAAGAAAACAAAATGTCACCAGCTGTAAATTTGCAAGGCCTCGCGAATGCACCAGTTTGTTTTTTATTCGTTTTTTCAGTTATCGCTACACCACCCACGCGAGTTGCCATGGCAAGTAGACCAAGTAGGGACGAGGTTTTTTATTCTTTTTTTTAAGTTTGTCCTCGGAACCACCCACGGACATTTGCATGAGGACAAACCACAGTAGGGACGAGGTTCGATGCAACGCACTTGGGAGAGTCACGGGGAAAGGCGGGGCGCTCACGTCTCGCCCTGAGGACCCATGAAACAAGGGATGCTACAGCCGGGTGGCGTTGAGCTTCTCGCGAGCCACAACTTTTAGAGGTAAGCAACTGACACACATTTGCCGCCTGGCGAGTTGTTCTTGAAGGGCAATTAAGGCCAACATTCGGTATCCCGCGTGACAGTACAAGATCGTTTTTCTTTTTCTTTTTCTCATTCTGCAAGCCATGTGGCGAGGCCCTGAATAGATGAAGCCGGGTTTGAACCAGCAAGGCCAAAGACATCATCCCAAGACTCTCTGTCAGAGTCTCCTCCCACGAGGAGGTAATGATGGCTCAACAGTCGCTGACCTGGCTACCCCACTTGGAGGTGGGGCAGCTAGCTCAACGGAAAGGCCAGTTGGCCGGGCGCCTGTGTTCTGCAGGTTCCTGTGTTGCAAGACAGGCAACGGGATCGCGCCCTGGTTGGCTTGGTCGAGAGAACTGGGACTCGCTAAAAAATCCCGCGCTAGAAATCCGTGATACTGGACTCCAACACATTCACATCCCCACCGGGTACGCCACTGGGGGACGGTTGCAAGGCTGTGTAGATGTTGTATGGGGGGTCCCACCCTCCGAGCGTCCTGCTGGCTGTGCTGACGACACACAATTGGGAGGGGGGAGTTGCTGAGCGACTGGGTACCATTGGGAGTCTCCCAGCTTGGAATGCCCCAGCTCTGCCCTCGGTGTGTCATGGGAATGTGATTAAAGCACTGGCCGCCACGGTAGGGCCTGCCTATAGCTCAGCCTGCACAACCTTCCAAGAAAGAAAAAAAAAGGGCCAAAGCATGCAAGAAAGTAGATTTCCATGAAACGAAAAATGAAAATTTTTGAAACGCCTCTCCGACGGTTAACTTACCCTGTCATGCCCCTGGAGCCTCTGAAGTTTCCTGCAGGCCCCTGTCAGTGAGGGGTGCAACTTTCCAGCACACCCCTGTGGCCATTGGTGGCACTCGCGGCCGTTCCTCTGGCCCTGGGAGGGGAGCTACAGGGGCATACTGGAAATCTGGAACCGGTACAGGTAGGGGGCATATCGAACATATTTCAGGCCCAAACGGCGCCAGGAGTTTTTCAGAAACTTCAATCGTTGTCAGAGGGTTGCAACAGGGTAAGCCCGCCGTCAGAGGGGCATACCGCAAATAAATGGAAGTCAGGGGCATTTCAAAAATTTCCTTTTCCCAACAAAAAATCTGAAAAATGAATCATAACACAAAATCTAACAGAGTCGTGCGCAATATCTCCCTACCTATGGATTTCCAGCAGATCGATGACACGGCCCTGTCTCACAAGCCACATGCGTTTGAAAACTCAACGCTGACCGAGCTCAAAGATGCTACCAGTGGGACTTGGCAGTCCCACTGCGGGAAGCTGGACCGCTGCCTTTTTTTTTTTCTTTTTTTTTTTTTGCTCACTCTACTGTTGGCCATGAAACTCGGGTTTCCCACCTGAACTGAATGGATAATTGGACGAAAACTGTTCGCCGCTGGTCTAAGCTGTACTAGGCAGCGGCCTTGTTTTTTTTTCTTGGGGGAGCACCCCAGCCGTTCCGTGGAATGCCGCACCTGCTGCCGGAGATCAGGTCCAGCATCCCTCCTTGAAAAACATAGCAAAATAAGTAGAGGAGAATTGTCCGTCGGGACATCCGGTAAAATCAAAACAATACAGAGAAGATACTCATGCCACCTGCGCAAGGATGACAACCCTAATTAAAAAAAAAAAAAAAAAAAAAAAAAAAAAAAAAAAAAAAAAAAAAAAAAAAAAGGTACAGCGGCATTCCACCCTGCTGATCCCGAGTAATCTCTCAACGCGACGATGCATGAGTTGCTAGATGGAAATCAAATAATCGGCTGCCTCAGCCTTGAGGTCTATTTTCTCTAAGGAGGACGCTGGCATCAACCACTCCCTTTAGGAGGAATGAGAAAGACAGTTACTTACATATAAGCATGCATTGAATTGCATTCCATCCAAGGATAGACGGTACTGTTGGCCTGCCTGTCATCATCCCGAAGCAAGACTACCCAAAGTATCTATTTTTATATTTTCCCCTTAACTTTTTTCCTTTTACCCCCCCTCCTCAAGGTACCGAAAGTATCTGCTTCGGGCAATAACCCATTGTGCCATGTGAATATTTCCCATAAAATTAATATGCATATCATGACTCTCCCTAGCAAATTTTGACAAAAATTGACAAAAATTGACAAAAATAATGAAAAATTGACAAAAATTGACAAAAATCATGAAAAATCAGAAAAATAACAAACATCATTGAAAGACGACAAAAATGACAAAATTGAAAAAAAAAAAAGGACAAAAATGGAAAAAAATGACAAAAATGACAAAAAATGACAAAAGAACACAAAAATGACAGAAATGGCAAAAATGATGATGATAACAACTTAGCTGACGGCAATAACAAAGATGACAGGAAAAATAATGACAACAACGACGAGGGCAACAACTACGACAACGGCGATAGTCATGGAATCCCTGAAGCTGGCTTTCAAAACATGAGCAGTAATGGTCACAACCACACCAACAAAGTGTCTATATAAAGACATAACAATACATCTCCCCCTCAGCGCATTCAAGAGAGACGATAAGAAGACTATGCGTAGTATGCAAGCACTGCCTGAGTCTTGCCACTTACCTATATATTCCTATAATGATCACATCAATTTCAAACGAGTGACGACAACATCAGATTTAATCCGCAATTCTGTGACAATCTGACACAAAGCGACTGTGATTTAAAGCAGATGTGCTCAGAATCTAGCTAAAGACCTGCGTCATTTGACGCAAAGAAATGCAGAAAAAAACTCCCAACAATTGGGAAAGTGGCAAAGTGCACTCCTAATCCTTTTACACACCGACAAGAGAGCGAATAACAGCCCTTCCTCAACGGAAACCGTCTGACGCAAAGTACGACGTCCGCACGACAAGGAAGAGCCTTGCCAGTTCAGAAAACTTCAGATGCATGGTCACGACTTTCAGCCGAGTCTGCCCACCAACGACACATGACTTCCAGCCAAGTCTGGCCACCAACGACACAAACTCACTATTATTAGGAATGAGAAGACCTCATAGACTAGTTTGTTCTTGTACAAAGCTATGAAACAGATCACTACTGAAGGGTTCAAAGTACAAACTCCAAATCAAATTAGGCCGATCCGTCCACCAGCCACCTTCACCTCCCACTCATTCTCTCTATTGCCAACAATCCAGGTCAAGAAGAGATTAAAAAAAAAAAAAAAAAAAAAAGCAGAAGCAGAAGAAGAAGAAGAAGAAGAAGAAGAAGAAGAGAAGAAGAAGCAGAAGAAGAAGAAGAAGAAGAGATATAAGCTTTCCTGCGGAAGACACCCTTCTCGGCCCGAAACAAATCGCCAAACATCGATAACTCTTACAGTCTTTACAGACGTACTTAGACTTATTTACAATCCTATACATACCATGCGGGGATTCATGGGGTTGGCGGATTGAGAAAAGTTGGGAGGGGGGCGGAAGATGACGAGAGGAGATGGCGGGGATTCATGGGGTTGGGGAGTTAAGAAGGCGTGGAGGGAAGGGGGGGGGGGGGGGGGGGGGGGGGGGGGGGGGGGGGGGGGGGGGGTGTTGGAGGGGATGAGAGGAGATGGCGGCATGGGTGTGGGGGAGGAAAGCAAAGTGGGGAGAGGGGGATTCGCTGTCAAATGAACAGACAGAACAGCTGGTTAGCTTCAGTTGTAGTTTACCCAGCGATGACCTTAAGCCTCCTCCTAGGGCTCCTAAGCCTCCCTGGACTCGCTTTATCGCGCACGCCCTTGACGTCCCTCTCTCTATTCCGAGAGTAATCAGGAACAAACTGTGTAGAACGCGTGTTCCCTTTTATGTTCCTAAGGAATGCTCCACGATTGACAAAGTGTCAATCGCTTTTCGTTCTCCACAAGCTGCACAGCCTGCACAGTTATGTAACTTCTCTTATCATCACAATGACGACATTCTCTTCACAAACACAGTCCAAAGTTGGGATTACTCCTCCCTACAACAAAAAGAACCTGGATGGATGGATGGATGCGACGTAAGGCATCGGTCCAATCGGCGCACGGAATCAATCTCACCCACGTCAACGCAACAGAGTCGACGATCATTTTGCTTCATACTTGCAAAAGACATTTGTAAATCTAGGCTGCTTCCTAAATTTTGCGAATGCGAAAAAAGAAGGAAAAAAAAATGAATGCTCCAGGAAACGAACGGTAAGAAAGAGGACACACATTGAAAAAGACTCGAAAGAGGCAGCCGACAATCGTCATACGGTCACCTCGACACACATCGTGTTCTTCCTGTGCCAACGACGAACCTGCACTTATGCACAAATCAAACAAAAGTTACAGAACCCCACAACTCCAACCATCCGCTGCAAAAAAGGGTAGTACCGCGTTTCAGCAGAAACGGAAATGTTATCGGACACTCTTTCTTCTTTTGTCAGATAACACTGTCAGAAGCTCCTCGTGCTGACTGGTCAGTCATCCCTTTTTTTTTTTTTTTTTTTTTTTTTTCCCATTTATCCTGATCCATACTTCTTGGCCAGTCCTGCAGAGGCCCCATAGTCCCAATTGCACCAACACAGGGAACGGTCGGCAGCCATTCAGACGGACTAACAGTGCTACCAAGGGCCGCAAGCTGTGTCCATTGACAAGTCGTCAGGTATCAGGGCAAGCACAGACTACTCAACCCACATGTAATCATGTCGGTTGGCTGGTGATGCATGCCAGGACAGCTGCACCCATTGACGTCTTTCGCCGTCCAGCTCTCCGGCTGTGATTTGCTGTCCACTCGCTGCAGGCCCAACCCACAGCTCCAGTAACCTAACAAACATAACCGCTGCTCCGACTGACTCAGATGCTTGACACGCTGGTTCCCGGATCTGCCGCTGCAGCAGTCACGACTGTCACGCCCACTCCACCTCCCTGTACTTCGCCTTAACTTTATCATCAAAACCACCGCTTCGTTGAATGAGACCAGCGGTCGGCACTCGGTTCCAGCGGTCGGCACGGTCCCAGTGACAAACATCGTCACCGCTCTTAAGTCACAAGTTTGCGTGCTTCGACATGCGGGGGGGTCCCTGGATGTGGTGCAGCAGTTACATCCACTGCAATCGTTTGCCTCCCATCTCTCCACCTTAAAACACCAGTCCCTCTGAGCCTCTTTCTCCCGACCCAGATTACCGCCGCAGCCGTAAAACGAGAAATGAACCGGCATGGAGGCAAAATGTTTTCCTTTAGCCAGGCGTCTCCGAGCCATTCTGGTCCCATACGCCAAGCGCCTGTTGACCCGCCGTGTGCAAACCGAATAGCTTGGAAACGGAATTGGCGGTTTGACTTTATCGTCCAGTGCGTGGGACCAAAGCATTGGCACTCAGTTTCCATAATAAACCTCACCACTGCTCGGTCGACACGCTCTGATGCCTGGATCTTCTGACGCAAATGGAATTCGGTCAGGAACGTGTGTATCGGTCTTGTCGATCTCCCACCTCTCTTCTGTTGTTCGTTTCCACCTCCCGATGCAGATCACACTCACACTCTGCCCAGTTCCATGACGACAATCGCACACATCAAACCCTCTTTTTAAACTCTTCGCCTTACGCTCCTCAGCTGGTCCTGATTATATCTTTTAAACTCTATTAATAACAAGCCAAGAATGCTCAGCCCAGCCAAAAAAATGGCTGGAGTTTTCCATCTTATGCAAATGCCTGATCCTAGAATCTACGTGTCGGGTATGTCCACCTTCCGGCTTCTCATTTGAAGCATGTTCAGAGTTCAAACCCTGAGCTCCACAGCCACAAGGGGAAGCGAAAACATACATCGCATGTTGCCCGGTGCCAGATCGTGCACCTGAGTATCGGTATAGCGACGGTACCTTCAGATGAACACCCTAAAATAAAAAAAATAAAAATAAAAAACACTGCTGCACATTGCAATTACGTGACAGTAGGAGAAAACATATGTCGAAAAGTACAATGACGAACACGAAACAATATAAAGAATGGAAGCAGTTTGAAGCACTTACCTGCCGTTGCCCGCGTGACTGTCACACAAGCACAAGAACACCTCTAGAATACCCAAACATTGCCTCATACTGAGAAGAAGCTGACACACCGCTTAAGCGGGGCAAAGAAAGCACCAATAAAAGAGTGACTGATGTCACTGAGCCTATAGAGATTGACCTGTAGTCTCTCCACATATCTGCCTCCGCCGCCTCCGCCGCCTCCGCCGCCGCCACCTCGTTCTCCTACCACTGCGGCTGGATGGTAACAAGTTAAACAACCTATAAAATATTCAGACATTGCTGAAACATCACAAGGGCGAAACACCGTGTAAGGGAGAAAAGCAGCAATATATCCAAAAACACGCGAAGAACCTGCTCCCGATGAGCCCCGCAAAGACCTGCAGAGACCTGCAGTCTCCGCAACATATGTGTAGCCTCCTCCTCCTCCTCCTCCTCCTCCTCCTCCTGTATTTCCTCCTAATATACTTTTCTTCCAACATCCCTCGTACTATTTTTCTTCACCCTCCTCCACTTGATTGTCCTTTCATTTCTCCCTCCTGCTCCACCTCCTCTTCCTCCTCTCCCTCCCTGAAAGACACAAACTACATTACAGTTAGTGCACTCGCAACTTCGCTTGCCTACTCCTTCTGAGCACAAGCAAGTCATCTGTTCTTAAGACTAGCGCGGCTGAGATAGGAGACGCGGCAGACTGAGGAGGGGTCAAATTTCCTGAACCCACATAAAGCATACAGTGAAGTCGCTCGTGGGTGCATGGCAACCCCCCTACCACCGATCAGGCTGGTCAGCATAGGCAAGCACCGGACAGCACTTGTGTGCAGCAAGTCCTCCTGAAACAGAACCAGAGGGCAAAACTACTCCAAGGAGAATTCGCGCCACTCCGTAATACCAAGCATGTCATAAACTTCACCAGTACAACACACTGACCTGAATAAAGATCCCCCCTGATCCTTCCTGAGCCACTGACCTGAACTGTCCTTGTCCCTCTTTGCTCACAACACCACCTCTCCATTCCTAAAGATGGGCCCAATGGAACAAGGCCCATTTGATTCCGTGTACCCGCTTTACAATGGAACAAGGCCCAAACCACTCCCGGAAACCATACGATACGAAAGAATAGAAAAGGTGTCTCAGGGGCTATGCCGAAAACAGAACAGACTTTGTTTGTCCTTCAAAGAAAGCTACGATTCATAACAAGGTGACTCTCCTGACTCCTGAAACCGCCCCAGACGGGAACGATTCCCATCCTGGGAACAAGACTCGCTCCATAAAACGGCGGACATCAGCTGGAACACGTACACCACTACCGTCTTCACCCGAATAGAACGCCCGGTAATTATAGCTGCATTTGGCCCAACTTTCAGTCCAGATGCAATGATAATGACCGGGCATTTTATTCGGGTGAAGACGGTGGCTGAAAACATGTCAACTAGAATGAGGTGTTTGCTTCTCCTCCTTCAAAGCTGCTGCCACGTGTGACGAAATTAATCCGAACCCCGAAGAAGCTTTGCGAAACGGAACAATTCTCATTCCTAGAACAAGTCCCGCTCATAAGACTAGCTGTGCCAAATCTAACAAGTCTCATTCCAGGAACAAGTCCCATTCTTAAGACTACACAAGTAGGACCACGCACAGCTCCCTCAAGCTACATACCAAATGCAACAGGTTGCTTGCTTCCCCTTCAAGGCTACCATATGAACTCGCGTCGACATTGCTGCGGGGCAGCGTTAGACATAGACCATCCTCAAAGCACACTGAAGAAGTCCTGTGAACACAAATAGATAGATGTATAGATAGATAGACAGATAGATACTAGATAGATAGCTTGACGATGAGGTAGCAGCAACGAACGACATGGTGGCAGTCGTCCTGCCCACCAATCTTTTACTTAGATACTAGATAGATAGCTTGACGATGAGGTAGCAGCAACGAACGACATGGTGGCAGTCGTCCTGCCCACCAATCTTTTACTTGAAAAAATGTCCTTTCGTATTCGGTCCGATGGAAATAGAGTTGCTCGTCCAGGATGGGCCGCTGAGCCTGCGACTGACAGATACGACCGCACCTAACAACTTCGCATCCACAGCACCAGACAGGACAGAACAAGGTCTAGATTTGCTACACATCATCTCATGTCACCTTGTGACAGAAGACTTCAGGCACACTCACATTAGGAGGACTTGCCTGGATGTATATTGCCGCCGCTTTTCCGACCCGACCTGGATGCACCTGACCGCAATTAAGTCCACGGAGAAGTGGAAAAAGTCCTACTGTAGAAAGACTCAGGGCACACTCACACTAGCACTTGCCCGGATGTATATGGCAGCCGCTTTTCAGACCCGACCTCGATGCACCTGACCGCAAAAAAAAAAATACGTCCACGGAGAAGTGGAAAAAGTCCTGGCGGCAGGAGTATGCCCTTGGAAGAATCAGCACCATTGTTGTTGTATTACAGCAACCTTGTGTTATTCAAGCGTAGCAGTTAAACGTAGCATCATGCTGACGTCAACGGCCCAGACGGGATGAAGAAGACGACCATTTCGTCTGTGATCTTATCTTTCTCAATCCTGCCCTCCACAAATTATAGACCACACATCGGTGTCTGCACCACTGGCGGAAGCAGTCCCATCTCTTTGCACTGCTGTGGGTTGAAGTTCATCGTCCCCGGAAGGGCTCCCGCGACCATCCTTGCCGGTTCGAATCCTGACAAAACATAATGCGCCAATGCCAAAGCCGAGTCCGCAACCTCCTCCTTATCTGGCAGTGCCAGTCCCATCGTCCTCATCGTCCTGTTTGGTGTTTTTCTTCGCTTGTTCGAATTGCAAGTGCTCGGAGTTGTGGGCGTCGAGTCCGCATCCTTCACGGGCAGAGGGGAATTGCTGGTTCCATCGTCAATCTCTGCAGCCTTAAGGAACCTCTCAGTTGCAGCCTCCCATGAGAGGAGGTGTTGATGCTCTTCGGACAAAGGCACGGGTTCTGACTTCATTGCCAGCTGAACCTTCTCCACAAACTCCTGTGGGGTCTTGTAGGTATAGCAATTGGGGAAAGATGCGAAGAATTCGTTTGAAGGATGTTCTGCGCAAACAACAATCTTTCCCATCGCAAGTGCTTCAGCTGTGGTTGTGCACACCACATCACTCATACTGGGATTGATGAAAACCTTGTACCTGCACACATTCACCCAAGAACGAACAGCCACGTCAATATATACCTATGACACCAAAAATGAACACCTACAGCCCCAGTCCGTCGTGTCAATATGTACATATGACACCCGCGGACAGCTGTGCGTTTTCCTTTTCATTACTCGTCTTCTTTACAAACATAAGGTCGGATGTCTGACAGGTCGTGTTCAGATGCCTGATAGGTCGCGTTCTGCACAAAAATATGGTGGGATCTGGCCAGACGGCCGAGCTCTCAGGGTGTGCAAATTCAGAAACCAAGTGGTAAAAGAGTCGGATTGCAACGCAAACAACCGAACGATCAACTCAAACACTCCTCAGCTAAGGAAACAGAGAAAGACAGTTTATGGTACCCACCCTGAAGTGACAGAAAAGGAGGAGGACAGAGAGGAAGGAAAAGGGCTGTGAGCACAGGAGGGGATAGAAGGGGGAAGAGAGGAAAGAATAGCAGCAGCAGGGAGGAAAGGGAGCACAGGCAAGGAGGAAGGAGGAGGCCAAAGCGGAAAAGAAGGAAGGAGGAGAGGAAGGAGGAGAGCACAGAAGGATGGGGAAAGAAGGAACAGGACAGCAAAGGCGGGAAGAGAAAGAGGAAAGAAGAAGGGTCGGGAGGCGGAAGGGAGGGAGGAAAGGAAGGGAGAACAAGGATGAGGTAAAAGAGAGGGAAGGATGGCAAAGCGAAGAAGGATCCGGAAAAAAAAAAAAACATGAAGAGGAGAGAAACGAGGAGCCAACAGCGAGGGGGAGGTAAGGACGGGGAGGAGACAGAGAAAAGAGGATGGAGGCGGCCGAAGTGACAAGGAGGAGGGGAGGAAGGAAGGACAACGAGAAGGGATGATGCCGAGTTGCAGGAAGCAGGGAAGGAGAGAGGCTGGGAGGGGGGGGGAGGAAGGGAGGTGGGTGGGTGGGGAGAAATCTAGGAAGGAGAGAAGGGAGAGGCAAGGGGATGAAACGGGAGCAAGAATAGTACGCGATAAGGATCGAGTTCGACGCACCCATGAAGGGAGTTATCGGCGTGGTCTCTTCCATCATAGAATGTGAAAGGTAGGTCCAGCTTCTTTGCTGTCGACTTCACCTCCTCTGCATCATCTCCACTGCCAAATACATCAAGACGCAGGCCATCCAGACTCTGCCGATGCTCGGCAACAAGGTCTACTAGTTCCCGATACCCTTTGCCCCACACCATCTTTCCCAGGAAATACGCGCCTTTGTCAAATGCTTCACTCCCCTCCCTTCGCTTGGAATTCAAGTTTTCTCCAACCTCCAAGAACTTCGGACACACGCCATGCACATTGCAGATCTCTGACCTGGGCATTTCTTGGGTCGCACCTGACAACCGCACCACCTGCACACCAGAATAGCCACAAAATTTGAGAAAAACGTTTCGACTTCAAATCAGTTTTCTTTTTTTTCCTTCCTTTCTTAAAAAAATAAATAAATCAGTTTTCTTTCCTGCTTCGGACTTCTGAATTCAAACTTCAAAGCGCTCTCGTACTACAGTCCTCCCCCCAAACGTTCCAAAACACAGCGCAGTCCAATCATATAAAAGCGACCTTTCCGGTTCGATACAGCCATGGCGAACTTGCCTTGCGTTTGGGGAAAGAGACGCCCAATCTCTGCAAGGAACCAGCATGCGACAACAAAAAGTTTCCAATCAGCAAGAGGTCATCGAAGACCACGCACGAGAAGTAGACGAAACTGAAAGCAGAAAAAAAATATCACAAGACCGGCGGCGAAAGCACGGGGATTCAAGAACACACTGAGCGCTGAAGTCTATCGATAACAAAAGCCATCTTCACGTCTCCACAAATCAATACAACAACAGAGCAGTATACATGTGCAGCAAAGATGTGTCCATCTATACTACTTCCCTACTCTAGCCTACCACCTAGCCTCCTCTCTCGTCAGAAGCCACTGAAGCGCTCTCCCGCAGAACGGCAGGTAATTATCCACCTGTCCTCACAGCCACTCCTCTTCCCTTGACCCCCCCTACACTCTTTCACCCCTATCCCTTGCAACTGCACTGCCTTTCCCTCCTATCCCTTGCAACTGCACTGCCTTTCACTCCTATCCCTTGCAACTGCACTGCCTACCAGATGTGGCAAGTGCACATGCACAACAGCTCCAGCTGCACATGTGTGCATGCAGAGCAGCTCCTGCTATGGTGCTTTGCCTGGCTGGGCGCTGGCTGCATGCAGTCTCGCAACGCTGCTGCATGGTACAACCTGCCGCCCAATGCGTTTCCCAACTTTTCCCCGCGTGTCTGCCTTCCTTTTGTCTGTTCGGCGGCCGTGGTCCGGGCCAGTAGGCAGTCCCTACTGGACTGGGACCAGGCCCAGGTGCCCATCAGGTCGGTACCCCGACTCAGGGCCTGCCGGGTGGTGACCTGCCTG